TAGTTTTACCTCATACGTATTAATATGAAATATCGTATAAGATGGATACACCCCCCCTCTTCTCCCCTCTCTCTCTCTCTCTCTCTCTCTCTCTCTCTCTCTCTCTCTCTCTCTCTCTCTCTCACACACACACACACACACACACATATATATATATATATATATATATATATATATATATATATATATATATATATATATATATATATATATATATATATATATATATATAGATATCTATATATATATAACTATAACTATATACATATATATATATATATTTATATATATATAGTTATAGTTATATATATATAGTTATATATATAGTTATATATATATATATATATATAGTTATAGTTATATATATATAGTTATATATATATATATATATATATATATATATATATATATATATATATATATATATATATATAGTTATAGTAATAATTATAACATATAATATAATATAATATAATATAATATAATATAATATAATATAATATAATATAATATAATATAATATAATATAATATAATATAATATAATATAATATAATATAATATAATATAATATAATATAATATAATATAATGCATGAGAGCAATATAATATGTGCTGCGACTGATTCTAACGGACTTGAAAACACAAGAGTGATCATTATAACGGATCTGACCGGAAGTGTCAGCAATGCGATGTTAGGAAGAGGATTAGGTGGGAATCTAGTTAAAGTCGTCACTTCACAGTCTTACCTGCAGATCGAGAGTCACTGATAAAATTAAATACTTTGTTGACATTTTCTTCTCTGTTATTTAGAGCATCCTCTCAGATTAATCTGCCCATTACGTATTAGGACAGTTATTATTAACTACGATGTATTCCGAATTACGTGGAATGTTATAAATGCGATTTGATTGAAAATCAAGAGAACATATCCTCCTATCAGTTTTTGCCATATTTCCATGTAGGAGCGAGATGTCATTTTAATCAAACTGATGAGTTTTTTAAATCTTTAAAACAGATTAGAAAAGTCTTTATTCTCTTGTCGCACCTGTTAAACTGATTAGCTTATTATATTATCAGCCTTTTCAAATGGAACTTATTTCAAAAATGCTTGCCCAATGTGGAGTTCACAGAGTTTTTTTTAGAAATGATTAGATTTTGAGATACCATTTTGTTGTTTACAGCTGACAAAAAAAGTCGTTTTAATTTCAGACTATAAGATCATATTACAATCTTCTTCACAAATTAGGAGACTCTAATTCCAATTTTGCCTTTCATGAACAATGAAATAAACACAAATACAACCATTATCCAGTCTACCCCAAAAGTGTAAGTAAAATTCTTAGTCTATATGCAGTAAAGATTCATAATTGTTTAGTTCTAAAGGGGATTTATATTTGACACATGTTCCTCTTACCCCATTGTGCAGGTTCTCTGAGTCAAATAAAAAGGAGGATATTACTATTTCTTAAAGAGAAAATTGCAAAACAATCATCGAATCTCCCTGATGAATAACCTCCCCATTTCCCCGTTCCTATAGGCCCAGACATAAGTTTGTTTGAACAACCTCACCCAATTTTCGATTCATTTTCTCCTACAAAATGTGTTTGTTTGGCAACCATACTCTTGATAACACAATTAAGTTTGAAGTATTTAAGTATGATGCTAATTGTATAGCGATTTTATTCTTAGGTGTATAAATAAATATTTAATAAAAACATAACAAAATCTCGAAAATTTTGAACTTATGAATCCTAGAATCCTAGAATATTTAATAAATTGGCCACATACATTTGTATAGCTTTATATCATATTGTAAATACTTTGGCTTACCACTGCTTCGAAACAAATTTGAATTACATAACATCTTATTGTGTCGTTGGTATTACAACTAGTAATGTAGACACCTACTCATTCATTTGCACTGTTCTGCATCTGCATGCGCAAGTGATTTGATGCCTTACTAGGTTTCCTTTGCGGTAGCCCCGAGTGGCCGAGTGGTCTAAATTGATGTCCGTTACGGATCACTGCCATCTCTCCTTTGTCTGCGTGGGTTCGAGTCTAGGATTCGGCGAATGTAGATATGTAAGAGAGCTTGCCAGTAGCTTCTAGTGGGTCGGCGTTTTTTTCCGTGATTTCCAAGTTTCTTCCTCCACCATTAATACTGGACGCCATGAATAGCCTATCGTGTGCTGAAAAATGACGTTAAAAAGCCCAACAACAATATGTTTCCTTTGCATGTTGTATACTTGATGATGATACCTTGCTATTTATTGTACAATCCGAAACTGAAGTCAGTTAATTGAAAAGGAAGTATGCTCACATCCTCAACACTTTCAGTGTTATTATTAGCTGACATAAGACAACTCAAAACAAAGCTAATGGTAACAAACGGTCTGTGTGTGGTGATGTTTGGTTATATTTCTCTCAACATGCAATACGCATAAATGTCTGGGAATGTCTTCGCTAAATACGCCTACAAATGTCATGCCTGGGAAGGTCTTTACTCCATACGCATACAAATGTCATACCTGGGAAGGTCTTTACAAAATACACATACAAATGTCAT